TATCTGCAAAATGGAAGCTTATTTATTAACTTATCATAAGCATAAAGCTAATGAGGACCCAGAATAAGTTGCTTTTAACTAAAATAAGGCATTCTTGTGGTTATCATCTGAACTAGTACCATGAACGTGGAATAATGTTGATGAACATGTGATGTTTCTAGAGCATGCTGTAAATTAATTAACTAACGGAGACCTTATCAATCAAATAAGAGGACCGGGAACAGGTAGAATGTGGTGGTGTCGCCAAGTTCTTCAGAAGAGGTTAGCTCTTGGAGTAGTTGGGGAGAGGAATATGGAATTTGAAACAAAATTTGTTATACTTGGTGCACTTTTTTCAATTTTTCTCCCTTTAGATTTGTTAGTTCTTTTGGCATAGTGTGATCATGCATTTCTCATGGATTCATATTTCATCCAATAGTTTGCTAAAGAATAACTTTGAAAGTTCTTTAGTTTTTAAGGAAAAAATGGCATGTCAAGTTACAAATTATGAGAGAACTCTTATTGAAATTATTCATCTGCTAGTGACCTCTACATTAATTTACATCACATTGCAGAAATTTCGGCAGGGTTGTAATATTCATGTTTTTGTAGAGAAGGATTTTGTTCAGCAAAGAAGTAATGATGAGAATATGTCTTCCGTGCTTCAATTTGAAATTTTGCTGGCAATTAATTTACATCATTGCACCGTTTGCTTATTTAGGTGGAGGCAAAGAAGGCTGTTCCTAGGGACGTTCATCTAAACTTCAACAGAAACAATGTAAGCATTCAAGGATCGCCTGGTCCTTCTCGCACAAAAAAGATTTTTGTGGGAGGCTTGGCATCAACGGTCACAGAAAGCAACTTCAAGAGGTACTTCGATCAATTTGGGATGATAACAGATGTTGTGGTCATGTATGACCACAATACACAAAGGCCTAGAGGTTTTGGTTTTATTACTTATGATTCAGAGGAGGCAGTGGATAGAGTTTTGTTCAAAACCTTTCATGAACTTAAAGGAAAAATGGTTGAGGTTAAACGAGCTGTTCCAAAGGAGTTATCTCCAGGACCAACTCGAAGCCCATTAAGTGGATATAACTATGGTCTCAATTGGGCTAGCAGTTTTCTCGATGATTTTACTCAAGGTTATAATTCAAGCTCACCAGGAGGCTATGGCATGAGTATGGACGGTCGATTTAGCCCCGTATCTGTGGCTCGGAGTGGATATCTTCCATACAGCCCCTCCAATTATAACACAAGACTAAGTTTGGACTCAGGGTTGAGCTCGAACTATGGGATGACTGGAGAATCAGGGTTGGGATGTGGACGTAGTACGAACAGCTACTATAGAGAAAATTCAAGCAGATATGGAAGTCCCATTGGATATAATATGGGTGATGGAGGAAATGGTTTTTTGTTGAACTCAACAAACCAAAACAGGTGGGGCAATGAGAGTCTTAATTTTGGCACAAGCTCTATGATTTCTGACGCTTTTGTTGGCTCGGGAACTGGAAATATTGGGGTAGTCGGTGGTTTAGGTAGTGTTGGGGGAACTTGGGGCTCCTCAACCATTTCAGCTCAAGAAGGGGGTAATGGTTCTTTAAGTAGAGGTAATGTTGGTAATTATGGCAGTAGACAAAATAGTTTCGGTGGCTGGGGAGGTTACGATAGAAACAATGTAAGCAATGTGATTACATCATCATTTTCTGCCACAAACGAGGTCCAAGATGATGGTTTTGGGAACCTATATGGAGCTAATTTAATTTACAATGATCCTGCTTGGCGTTCATCCTCCCCAGAGCTAGAAGGATCTGCCTCCTTTGGTTATGGGCTGGGGATTGCAGCTGAAGATGTTACACCTAAAAATTCTGTT